CGGGAGCCAGTGTCCACCACCAGCTTTAGAAAAGCCAGGTTGTGGGGAGAGGGTCAGTGCTGCCTTAAGGTCCCCAAAGCTTCCTTTGCGAGCTTCAGTCCTCCTGAAGTGAGCCCGCGCAGCAGAGTAGCTATCTCAGAAAAAATCCCTTCTGCAGGAACCATCAGCAGAAGAGCGCTACCCCTGGAATCTTCCCCAGCAGGCCCGAGTTCCAGGTGCATACGCTTGGAGACTCGGAGGAATTCGGGGGGTGGGGAAGTTTGCCTGAGTGTCTGAGGCAGGTAGAAAGGTAGACACCCCATTTTTTACTCATATATACCCTTTCTGTCGTAGATACTTTAAACAAGTGTCTGGGGTCATCTTTCCCCCCCCTGGGGACACTGCATACCCACAAGGGCTCAGGACTCTGGGACCTCTGGCCAAGCCGTGAGGACAACCTCAACAGTGACACCTTCACAAAAATAAAAGAGTCTGAAACGTCCTAAACCGACAGTTCGTGACAATTGTGTTTGCAAACTCGGCTCCCTCCCAGAGTTCATGTTTCAGTTAGGAGAAGCAAAGTTAAAATGTTAGAGATGACAAAATGTGCAGCTCAGATGGTGATTTAAAGTGAGTAGAAACTGATCTGTTTACCTGCAGTTTATTTGCAACCTATTTTCCAAAAGCATAAAAGCCAAATCAAACTGAACGTTTCTCTATGGAATAGTTAATCAGAAACAGACTTTGTTACACAATCCTTAGAGCTGAGTAGGGGGTGTGCAATGTTTTGTTGCTCTTCTGAAGATGAGTGCTTGGTTTTGCACTGAGAAAACTCTGTGCAAAATGCTCTGGCAGTGGATCGTTGGTCAGAAGGCAAACAGGCCTGTATTTGATTCTGGAAAGTGTTGGTTTAGGTAAAAAGTTGGTTGCAGTGTCAGTCTGATAAATGCAAGGTACCAGTTCGCACAGGCTGGTAGTTACTGTGGTTTTGAAGGGTGAATGAGGGACTTTTAAACCCCCAACAGATCTTTAAACTGAAGTGAAGTGACTGTGAAAGGGGTGACAGACTTCTGTATGAATGAGACTCGCTGAAGCAGACTCACAGCTGCAATGAAGTGCAGGGAACCTGTGGGGAAACAGGAGAGGCTGCAGTGTGTTAGAACATAAGACATGTTGCTAACGATTAGGCCGTTTGGTTCATCCAGTCGAGTTAGTCACTAATTGATCCCAGGATCTTATCCAGCCATAGCTTGAAGTGAACCAGGGTTTTGGCTTCAGAAACGTGGCTGGGGAGCTTGTTTTGTAGCCCACTGTGTGAGAAGGATATTTCTGTTAATCCCCAGAATGTATCCGGTTACTCTTCCCTGAACCGATTCTTTAACGTGGTGACCAAAAATAAAAGTTATTGTGGTGTGAGGGACCCGCGGACCTGTGAGACTGACCAACACCTCTGAGGTGAGTCTTTAGATTGTACATCAAAGCTCAACAACACTTTTGCACTGAGGCTGGTGTTTCCGGGTTCCTGAATGACACTTAGGGTTTTTTTCAGACTATGTCTGAGGGAGGGGCTGCTGGAAGAGAGTGGCCACTTGTGCGGTCAAGAAAGGACATGAGTAAAAAGCACTACTTACAGAACCGGGTCACGCATCAAGCCCACAGGCCAGCAGGGGAAGAAGCTTTATTTACAACAACCTGTAATTACAGCAGACTCTGGCCTTTTTAGAAGGACCAGTGTTGGGAAAGATATTTCCAGCAGCCATATCACCCTGCAACTCACAACTGGCAACCCACTGAAGCTCAGCAGGTGTGAGCCTGGTCAGTACCTGGATGGGAGACCTCCTGGGAAAAAAAACTAAGGTTGCTGCTGGAAGAGGTGTTAGTGGGGCCAGCAGGGGGCGCTCACCCTGCGGTCCATGTGGGTCCTAATGCCCCAGTATAGTGATGGGGACACTATACTGTAAACAGGCGCCGTCCTTCGGATGAGACGTAAAACCGAGGTCCTGACTCTCTGTGGTCATTAAAAATCCCAGGGCGCTTCTCGAAAGGAGTAGGGGTGTAACCCCGGTGTCCTGGCCAAATTTCCAATTGGCCCTTACCAATCATGGCCTCCTAATAATCCCCCTCTATGAATTGGCTACATTACTCTGCTCTCCTCCCCACTGAGAGCTGGTGTGTGGGGAGCGTTCTGGCGCACTATGGCTGCTGTTGCATCATCCAGGTGGATGCTGCACACTGGTGGTGGTGGAGGGGATCCCCATTACCTGTAAAGCGCTTTGAGTGGAGTGTCCAGAAAAGCGCTATATAAGTGTAAGCAATTATTATTATTATTATAAGTGGCATAAAGGCTGCCTCTCGGCACCAGCCGAAGAGTACAGAGAGAAGGTGTGCTGAGCCCCGCTGGGTTCGGCTCCCTGAGGGCGGGACACAGCACAGCCAGGGAGCAGCTGGGAGGCAGGAGGTGAGGCAGCCGGGGGAAGAGACACTGCGACAGGGGAGCCGAGCAGCTGCTGGAGAGAGCAGGGGAACTGCATGTCGGGTGAGCCGTGCCCTTCCCCAGCTTGGAGACAAGCCAGGCTCCGCAGCAGGTTGCTGGAAACAGGAGAGAGACTTGTGTGACTTGGAAGGCATCCAGCCTACCGAGGTGCGCCCGGCCTGTCAGAGGGTTCGTGGAGAGAGGCCGGGGCTGAAGCGGGGGAGAAGACTCCGGCCGTGAGGAAGGGCTCTTCTTCGACACCCCTGAGGCACAGTACGAGCCTCGGTGTTCTCGTGTGGCCTGCCACAGCTGCCTGTCCGGGATGTTTCATTCGGGGAAGCCTCGGGGGCCTGAAAGGTTCGCTCTCGGTGCTGTGCGTCCGTTTCAAGCCTGTAATCACACTGTGTCAGTGGCCCTTTCCCTGGACTGGATTTTGTTGCACCACTGATAGGCTGCTGCTTTCAGTTTAGTCAATCAGTCTTTCCACAATACGAGCTTTGTTTTGTTAGTGTGCTCTGAGGCAGATCAGACAAAGAAAAACAAATATCCCCCAGATCTCATTGTTCTGGGGGGCGTTGTGAAGTCTTTCTGATTTGATGACCTCCGTCTGAAGGTCTGGTGTGCGCATGCTGGCAGCCGCAGAATGACGTGTGCCAGTGGGGGAACATGGAGCAGCACTTTGGCAAGAGTTTCGCACCCTTTGCCCCACTGCCCCCAGTGCAGCAGGGCATCGCCTCACGAAAGCCTGCACGCTCTCGGACTCAGGGTCATGACAGAGCTTTCAGTGACCAGGCAGGGTGCCGGCGCTGGAGATGTACCAGGCAGTCTGGAAAAGCGTGGGGGCGCTATAGGAGATCATCTGTACTCCATCTGCTGCAGCAGCAGAGCGAGAACGGTCTTGTGGTGTATTAATCTGAACCAGAGGACAATTTAAGAAGCGATCTCCTTACAGAGGAATTTAGATTTCAGACTGGTCTGTGGCAGTAAATGCCAGCAAAAAAACAAAACAAAACCCAATCACGTAAGAATCAAGAGGAGGGATATTGTTGAATCCCCTTTTCTGCACATTTTATATTTAATGCAATGTGCTGTGGGCTTAGTCAACTTGCTACAGTCAAACATTATTAAGAGAAGGTGAGCTGAACAGAGATCAACTGACAGGGAATATATAGCTATGAAAGACAGCACGGGGGAGTGTGAAGGTTATATCCTACTAAATGATGGATTTTGTGCAGCTCTTATTGTCCACAGACTGTAAGGAGTACTTGTAAAGGGAAATCGAAAATTATAACGCCTTGTAAAATTGAGGGACCATCTTTATGTCGCTATGTCTCTATGTAAAACACATAGTTACAACGTGGAATATGTTTAGTCTTCTTATCATGACGCATTACGCGCCACAGAGACTGTCCCGTCACAGACACAGGCGCTGTGCCTTCCTGCGGATAAGGAGAAAAGACCCCCCGGTGGTGCATTAGTCCTCACTAATGGAATACGGTGCTTGTTGTTGGGTTTTTTTCCAGTCTTTGGGACCTTGAATGCGGAGGCGCTGCAATAGCTCTGCGTTCTGCGATAACGCCTCGCCTGATTCGTTCAATGAGGTCGCGAAATTATTCTGCTTCCCGGCGTGCGTCAGTGGGCGCCAGGAGAGCGAGCGAGTGCGCTTGAAAACAGCCGAGTTTATAGGCGTGTTAGGTATTTAATTATTTTGTAACAAAAAATAGTCCACATTTTTATTCACTTTCAATATTTTGTTAATATTTCTGTGTTAATTTGCTCCGGGAATTTTCCCTCCTTAGAATCTAAGTGCTGCACCGGGCGCTAAACTGAGTAGATGCTGACCTGCAGATCATGGCGATGCAACAATATTTTTAGTAACAATATCGACTATGTTTAAATGCTATTTCACTTGTTTAACTTTTTGCCTCTAACTCTCCTTTTTTGGTTGTGGCTAACAATGATATCCAAGTGGATGCTGCACATTGGTGGTGGTGGAGGGGAGTCCCCATTACCTGTAAAGCGCTTTGAGTGGAGTGTCCAGAAAAGCGCTATATAAGTGAGAGCAATTATTATTATTATTATAATATGTCATGACTCTCCCTATCAAATCAGTTACTATGACACAGTTTTAATTGGTGGAAAGGTCAAAGAACAGCCTTTATTTTTGTGACACAAGTCTGGAATGGTATGTTTTTTCGTCAACGTTTTAAAGCACTAACATACTGTTGTATTATTTGAAACGTGCCCTAACTTCGTGTACTGTAGTTTCCGTGCGGGAAATCATATTGCTCGCTCGAATATTCTGCCCAAACGTTTGTAGACCCCTAGTGGCCCATATAAAAGCTTTCATTTTGGTTTCACCCCCAGTGTCCCAGGTGTTAATGCGCTAGAAGTTTTTAATTGACAGAGGAGCCGTGGACAAGCAGCCGACTCTGTTAACTGGGCTGCATAGATTATTCTGCCTGCGGGCGGGCGGGGGTAATAAATATATACAAAACATTAATGTACACATTAGGACAATGGAGGATGTAGGAGGACTTCCAAAGGCCAGATGTTCCCATAATAACCCCAGAGATCAGGCGAAGTGCAGGGACCCCGCCCCTGCCTGGATCGGGATGGACCGCTGCCTCCTCCGGCGCTTTCAAATCCGTCGGCAGTCGGCGGCGAGCGGGGAGGCGTGATGAGCTCAAGAGCCATGGCTCACCACACCGTCGCCTGTGCCGTCATCTTCGTCGCCTGTGCCCTGGGACCCGGCTTGGCAAGCCGAAAACTGCTGGTTTTCCTGATTGACGGATTCCGCTACGATTATATCAACCAGCTGGATGCCCTGCCCGGGTTCAAAGAAATCGTGGACAGTGGCGTCAAAGCGGACTACATGACACCTGATTTTCCCAGCCTTTCCTACCCGAATTACTATTCTCTCATGACGGGTAAGGTTTTCTTTCTGCGAAGGCGAGCGGAGTTTTGCTGAAAGTTTTGGCTGCTGTGTGGGGAGTGTTACCCTTAATACGCAGTAGAAATAAATTGTTGTTAACCTAGGCAGCAGTGTTTTTCTTGCGGTCAGAAAGTTAAACTTTTTCTCATCTTGATGGCGTTACGATCAGGACTAACGTCATTAACAGGTATGAATGGTAAAATTCGTGGAAACACATTTTTTTTTTCTCAGTGTTGATGTGGGGATCGGGACTCCAACTCTGCATTTTGTCGTCACATAAAAAGGAATTAGCGAGGACTGTACAGAACTGAAGTTTTTAAAGAATCTAAGGCATTATAGTTTGTGTTACTGTGATGTTGCAAGAGGTCTGCAAAATGTATTCCATTTCTGTTTACGAGAGTGCGTTTAAAATTAGCCTTATTGTGTAACCAACTTTGCAACTATGACCTTTTAACAGGCTGGTAGTAATCCAGATTTTGACTAGTATTTAAATAACTTTTCTTTCGTTTTGGCATGCTTCTGGATAAGGAGCAGGTCCTGATACTGGGCACAGAGATGTTTTACTCGGAGTGTAATCTGATTTTCTCCTTGGTGTGTAATGTATCATACAAGGGGTTGGTGTACTGTAGGTGCAGGTAATTACAGCAGCGCAGACAGGGCATGTGACCATCCTACTAAATCTTTAGTGAAACATTAACCAAGGCCCCGTCGTTTCATCCGGAAAGCTGGGTGTGATACATGCGCCCGCGCACAGTACACAGTTCTACGCGCTCTATGCTGCGACAGTCATCGACAAACCTTTGTCCCATCTTTGCTGTTTGAATGACTTCATTTGAAACAAACACAAAAACGTGTGGATCTGTACGAGGCACATCAGTGACAACGTCCAGTCCTTTTGTGAAAGGCGCTATACAAGTTGCTCGCGGATAGTCACTCTTTGTGCTCGTTTCCAAACACAGCCGCTGTGGGCTAGTCCGCAGGTCTGGACTCGCCACGTTGTGCAGGTCACATAATTGAGCTGTACAGTGATCTGCAGTCCTCACCAAGGTCTCTCTGAAACACATGTCTTCTTATCCTGCAAATAGCTCTGTATCCTGTACTGGGAATCAGTAACAGGTCCTCTGGGATCCCTACCAGACAGCAGTGTCTTTGAGCAAGAAGCTGTCTGTCCAACGGAGCTCACACACACGGCACAGCCTGCCTTTGTCACATGAGTAGCCACTGGACTGAAGTGCAGAGATTTCATTCATTTGGCCCTCGTTACCAAAAGCATCCCCTTCAGATGAGGTTTAACACACCCTGGATTAACCCTTTCTGCCCTGAAGAATATGAATAAAATTGAAATCTGATACCTTGCAAGCTTCATGTTCTGCCCTTTCTCAGAGTCACGATAGTTGAATTTCATAAAATAAATTGATAATAATCATGACTTCCCGAGGGTGGGCATGGATCCAGCCTATTTTCTAGCCAGTGCTTTGTGCATTTGGTGGTTTCAGTCCAGATTTCACACAAGACGTTTCAAGGGTCTTGAATATACTTGCCATATACTGTAAATCAGTTTTTTACATTTCTGTCAAATGAAGGATCAGTACAGTATGTCATCAGCAGATCTGGCGGGCTTATTATACTGTATGTGATTCAGGTGGGTAGCTGCGTTAGCATGCGTACTGTAGGCTGCAAAGGAACAGGTAATAGGTTTATTCCTGCTGGAAAAAAAAGAAAGAAAACACAACGTTTCGGCAGTGGATCCTTCTTCAGGTGTTACCTAACACCTCACACCTGAAGAAGGCTCCACGGCCGAAACATTGTGTTTTCTTTCTTCTTTTTTTCAGCAGGGAATAAACCTGTTACTTGTTCCTAATTATATGTGATACAGAAGCAAAGCTTATGAGTGCTGTACGGAATGATGATTTTGTATTTTAATATCTGAGATCTCTCTCCACCCAGTTCAAGCCAATCTGTCACTGTGTGGAAGTGCTGTCAGACAAAATCCCAGCCTCTACCAGACTAGTTTAGCCTGACGTTGAACAGCACAACCTTACATGTTTACAATCTATGGTGCCTTACCTTATAAAGACATCCCAAGGGGTTGTGTGAAACAAGTGTGCAATAGTCTTAATAAAAGTCATGTAAAATACACTCAGCATTCCTGAGGTGTGCTGGTAATGAGCTGCCAGAGCCCCAGAGTTGCCACCCAGTCACGAGTGTTTGGCCACTGATCATAATTTTCACTTCCCTACGTGAGGGATCAGAAGGTCACGCACACACCTAAGGGTAAAAGACCTCTAAGATCTAAGAGGCCAGCAAAGCGTACTTGAGATTCTGCGAGAAGCCGAGAAATCTGCGTGTGGTTTCTGCGAGCCAACGTGACTGAAGGTTCAAGCCGTCTTTGCTGGACACTCGGGAACCCCGGTGTAGACTGTAGCAGCTTCAGTAAGAGTCCCGGTAGGCTTTCCTTTCTGCCATTTCGGATGCCACACAAGAGCTGAAATCGCCCCTCTCAGCATGCAGCTTAGCAGGGTAAGGTGCTGCCCGGCCTTTGTGTCAAGAACAGCTTTTGGAAAGACGAAGGGACCGAGAGCGTGGTTTATTTGTGCGCTGGTGCGCTGCCTGGCTCGCTCTTTCCTCGTGCAGCCCTGCTGCTTGTCGTGCACACTGTTGGAAGACACCCCTGGGACGCGGCCCCTGAACTGCAGCCAGAGCGAACTCCTGGCTCCGCCACCTCTCATCTGCCACTGGCGGGGTGACTCGGACAGCCGCTGCCTGCCGCGGCCAAGGAACCTGTGACGTGAGCCCCTCTCCTCTGCTGCTCTCGGCCGTGCCCTCTGCCTACCTGTCTCTGGCCGGGGTCACGGCTGGGTCATGGCGCCGCCCTGGCTGGGGGCTCACGCGGCGCAGTCCTCCCTGCCCTCCCTCTCATCGGAGCAGCAGGAGCAGCTCCTTCCCGGCTGCCTGGCCTCCGGTGCTACGCGGCCAGGCCAGTTCCCCCACCCGGCGGTGCCAGCACAGGCCAGTCGCGTATCCCCCCTCGAGACTTGGCACCGACACCTGCCCACAGGCAGCGACAGCGGAAGGGGAAGGGCTACAGCTTCCTCCCACGCTCACAGGGAAAGAGGAGAAGAGAAACGCCCTGTTTGAGCGGTGGAGCCCTCTTTGGGCGCGAGGGAGGGAGGGGAAAGTTGCAAAGAGACAGAGTGGGTAAGAAGGGGCAGGGAGCAGAGGAAATGGGCTGTTAGACAGTAGCCAGTGGGAATAAGTGTTCAGACCCTAGAAGACTTGACTCTTTACAGCCCCGACCTGAAGCGCTGGACTGCACAAAAACGCCAAGGTGTCAAGACTGCGTCTCGAATCCTGTCTGCCCCCAGTGAAAAGTTTGATTTCAGGACACACCACATAAAACACGTTGTTGAACCGGAGAAGTACAGTACAAAGCAATCCATAACCTCAGCAGTCGTTCATGCTTACATAATTACACCACAAAGCAGATATCTCATCTTCATTTGATCACAGTGCACAGGATGAGTAGGGTATTTAATATACCATGTGGTGGGTAATGGGATTTAGTACAAGTTAATTACTTGAACATTACAATCTGTCGTCTGCCCGCACAGTTTCATCGGAAGCCATGCTAGTATTGTTGACAATAAAGAGAGAAATAGCGGAGAAGATGAGGAGCCTGTTTGAGTTGTGCATTAGGCCTTAGATCTGAATCTGCAGCGGAGACACTGATCATGCTCTTCGCCTTCCAGTGAGCTGTCAGTCACCCAGCTGTTTAAGGGAGTCTGTGGGAGGGAGGTTTTCCCCGTCACAAAAAATGCGGAATAGAAAAAAGCCAACGAGAATGACCCAGAGGGAGGCCAGTTTCTCATCTGTGTTATCTCGACAGCTGAATATGTCCATTGACCGACGGGAGCCTGGCACAGATGCCCCTCACAAGTCAATGCATCATGGCACAACATGCCAGGAGTCATCCTCATTGTAATCCCCAACTGGCGATACATATCTGCTGCAAAAGACCCGCACTGTGCTGCCCAGACGCCACAGTACCACCATTGTCAATCGCAAAACATTTGCCTGCTTATTCACCCTCAGCCCAGCTAACGGTCTCCTTGAAGAGCCCTTATGACGTCATAGAGAATCTTTATTTCTGTTGGAACAGAAGACTCTTCTTTTCCATAGCCGAGGGCGTCCCAGCTGCTGAAGACGAGGCCTTCCTTCACCTGGAGAGAAAACCCTGGCAGTTCTATGTCAACGAGACCTGATGAGCCGTGATGAGAAGCTCACATGGAAGGCCCTGAGTGGGCCAGCTCCAGGTTGCTCTGAGGATGTACGGCACGAGTGATGTTCAGGTTGTAATCGGAGCTGCGCTGATTGAGGAGTTATGACTCGGCCAAAGACCAGACTTCACACGTGGGCGGTAGAGGCTTCTGGTGCTTTAGAGCAGCACATCATCTGTGAATCTTGCTGTAAGGATCCACTACAGACACTGCTTCTCTTGAGATTTACAAAACCCACTCACAAGCCATGTCTTTTCTCTAACACTATTAATGTGTCATTTGCACTAAGTCAACTTGCCTTGCTTTCAAGTGTTCTGCTGTTCTTTAGCATATTCAACTTCCTGAAAAGTGCTCATAGACAAAATGATCCCCTTGTACGGAAAATGGGACGTGTACCTGGACTTTAAAATGTTTGTTTTGAATACAACTGAAGCACATTTTAAATTAATTTATTGTTAAGCAGACTCCTAAATGGTGTGGTCTGTTATCCAAGATATGGTACAAACCTTCTAACACGTGTGACTGTAGTTTGAAAAGTAAATGAAGTTACTGTAGTTCTCTTGTTAAACTTTTAACATTCAGATAAAGAATGCTGCCAGGATTATAGCCCCAGTCAGAGTGATTTGCAAGGCACTGTGTTTTTAAATGAGCTTCCTAAACTCTGAAAGTGAGAGTTTAAATATGCACCTCTAGCTAGAGACAACAGATAAGGAAAAGATCAGTTTAATATATACCAACATGTTCATGTTAATGTCCTCAGTTTGAGAATTGAGAATTGCCAGATTTCCATGGAATAGAGTATGTCCTTTAAATGCTTATATAATTCTTCTCCTGCATTAAACTTTCAGAAGACAAGATAAGCCATTCTTGTCTTGAAGTTTTAGTACTTCAGACAGTTTTCCTCTTTGTTTAAAAACAGAGAACATGTTTTCATGCTTCGATAGAAGTACTCGTGAATCCTTGACATTTGAATTGATGGGCCCTTTTAAGGTACATAATAGTTCTTCAAAGTTTTGGTAGCTGCAGAGGAGAAACTAACTTGTGGGCACATGAAATCCTAAAAATTATTTTTAATCACCTCCAGGTCGATTTGGATTTTCATGCTTGTTGGAAAACATTTTAGACCAGCCTCTATTCCAAAGCCATTTTTTCTGTTCCCAGCCCTTCGGCTAAACTCCTGGTTCTCATGATCAACCTACTGGACGAGGCGTTTGCTGTTTTCACAGTGCACATTCCCACTGCAGTGAGGGAGCGTAGCTGGCAGTGATAACGCCTGACATGCACTGTGTTATGTGATGGAAAGGCCTAATCCAGTGGACCTGCTGCGGGTGTCAAAGCGTGCTCATGCAGAAATGAACGCTGCTAAATGTGAACTCCCAGTTCTGCAGCAGGTGCAAAAGGCATGGCAGATCTGTTGAGATTTTATTGCAGTTATAGGTTAAACCATCCTTGGCAAAAAAATACTTGTTATCTAGTCAAGCAAACCAGAGTGCTTAAGAATTTACCTTGAAAGCTCAGGTAATGATATTAATGGCTCATTAAGGACAGGCTGGATAAGCACGCCCTAAATTTTGTCATTTAACTTTGTGTAAGTACCATAATACGCACCTCTTTGTACTTGAATGTGTTATTATTCATCTAGAGACAGGGGTAATACCCACTGATGGGACAATTGCCATCCACCAAGTCAAGTCTTACGTCTCTTACATCAGATGTTATTGAAATAATTGGAAGTAAACTGAATGATTTTCTGGATGGAAGGAGGATCCTGGGGGTAGAGGGACAGAATGGGTGCAGCTTCTGCAGGTCTTGCTCACCTGCTGTTCAAACGGGCAGGTAACAAGGGGTAACAACAGAGTATACAGCAGCATGATTAGCCAGCAGCCATATCACCCTGCAACTCACAACTGGCAACCCACTGAAGCTCAGCAGGTGTGAGCCTGGTCAGTACCTGGATGGGAGACCTCCTGGGAAAAACTAAGGTTGCTGCTGGAAGAGGTGCTAGTGGGGCCAGCAGGGGGCGCTCACCCTGTGGTCCATGTGGGTCCTAATGCCCCAGTATAGTGACGGGGACACTATACTGTAAACAGGCACCGTCCTTTGGATGAGACGTAAAACCGAGGTCCTGACTGTCTGTGGTCATTAAAAATCCCAGGGTGTTTCTCGAAAAGAGTAGGGGTGTAACCCCGGCATCCTGGCCAAATTTCCCCATTGGTCCTTACCAATCATGGCCTCCTAATAATCCCCCTCTATGAATTGGCTTCATTACTCTGCTCTCCTCCCCACTGAGAGATGTTAAGCGTTCTGGCGCACTATGGCTGCCGTCGCATCATCCAGGTGGGGCTGCACATTGGTGGTGGTGGAGGGGATCCCCATTACATGTAAAGCACTTTGAGTGGAGTGTCCAGAAAAGCGCTATATAAGTGTAAGCAATTATTATTATAAGTTTTACTTACCATATGTTTTCAGAAGGCTTTATGATAAGGTCCCTCGTAAAATTTGAATATATAAAATTGTAAAAGTTGAATATATAAAATTGCAAACGGATAATGCTCGTACTGGGACTAAGAACTGATTACCGGTTTTTAAAAGACTTTCACAAAGTGTTTTCTAAGACGTGCATGCCGAATGTTTTTAACTGAGCTGATCACACAAGTGCCAGCCAGGTAAACTTTCAACAGTCCTCATAGGTAATCTTCCCTCATCTCCCTGTGACCACTGTAAGCACCCTGTTGGAACTCAGTGAATAATGCTCAGTGTTGTGTGGCATAACACAGTTGTGTAATCCTTGCCAGAACGTGTAGCTCATGATAGACAATGGGCTCTTCATCAGCTCTCTAGAACCTCTAGCTCTGCTGCCTTTGTTGGTACAGTAATGGTTGTTAGTGCACTGTATCTTTATATGGAATGAATGTTCTTTGCTTATTTAAAAAAAAAGAACACTTGCAGTATGTTCCAAGACAGGATGTATTGTATCAAGTATTATTTGAATAAAGCAAAGGAAAATGAGGGTGAAATTGCACATGAGGGATATAGCTTACTGCTATTTTAATGGGTAATCTATCCACAATTTATTGTAGGAGTGGTTTTGCAGTTTTTGCAGTATTCTTCATTCAGGATGTTGTGTAAATCACACTTGTATACTCACAAACTAAACTAGACTGAGCCCCCGCCTAGATCTGTGTATTATTTGTACTAATGCCTATCAAGGACTAACGTAAAAAGGCAAATGTGTTTTCCACAAGCTGGAGTTTTGTGACTTGTGAGGTGAGGTTTATAGCCGTTCACTTTCAAAAAGATGGTTGCAAATACTTGTTTACAGTATGTAAAATTTGCAGTTTTTATGTACAGTAAATCAGGAGTGTCAAACACAATTTCTGGAGGGCCTAGTGTCTTGTTTTTTGTTCCAAGCAGTCAATGAGTTATGAGTAGTCAATTAAATTGTTCATATTCGTATATACACTGTACAGGATTTTTCTAAATGTCTTTTACTATAGTTTACTATAGAAACATACACTAAGGATGCAGTTAACGTACATATGAATCATCCTGAAGCATTCTTAGAACTATTCCAGTTCTGTAGTTAGTTAACTAACACAAACCAGAACACTAGGCGCCAGGAACTGAGTTTGAGAGCCCTGATATAAAGGGATAAAAGAATGTGTGATTTATGCAGAATTGTGTTGTTTTTTAGGCCGGCACTGCGAAGTGCACCAGATGACTGGTAATTACATGTGGGATCGAGCTGCAGGCAAAGAATTTCTCATTGGCACCAACCCAGACAGCCGCTTACCTCTGTGGTGGGATGGATCAGAGCCACTCTGGGTAACGATGCAGAAACAGAAGAAGAAGGTTTACATGTACTACTGGCCTGGTTTGTGTCATAAACTAGTATTTCCATATCATGCTGATGGTTTTAATTGTAACCTCTTGTGCTGAAAAATTATATGAATCTCAGAAATCCCTGGGAAAAATTAAAGTGAGAGAGCTGCTCTTATGTTTGTACTAGAATTGTTTTAAATTTAATTTTAAATTGTTCAAATGTCAAAGAAGTGGCGACAACAAAAACAACATTAGAAAAATTGATGGAAAAAACTCAGAAATCTCTAAATCAGGGATCTCCAGTTGCTTTCCTGCAGAACTTCATTTTAGCAGATGTTACAGGTAGCTTGTAAACCTTCTCTTCCTGAAGGCCTGAAACAGTTTAAATATGATCAGTTAAAGAGGCGGTTTGTTTTATTAACATAAAGATCACAAGGATCATCAGGGACCAGTGTTGGCTTCTTTGACATTACTCGATCAATGGATCAGTTGCTCAGACAGGTGTTCCTAATCTTGAATTAACAGGGGATTTGGAGTGACCTGTAGGAATAACTGGACTGAGGGAGCTCTCCCTTTCAGCACAGGACAGCTTTTAAATAGATGTTAAAATGCTATAAATCATAATGTGTTTTTATAATGTGTTGTAGCTCATGAGGACTAATTTCCTTGTGTTCTGTTAACACACGGGCAGGATGCTGTTGATAGTCATGCAAGTCGCCTGATGTGACATTTGTTGAAATCATTCCTAGGCTGCGAAGTGGAGATTTTGGGCGTGAGACCAGAGTACTGCCGAGAGTATTTCTACAGTCCTTCGGAGTCCAACCTGACACAAGCTATAGACAGTGCTCTTGAAACTCTGCGGTAAGCGACCAAAATGCCCTTCCTTGCGTGAGAGCTACAAGACCCAGTCATTCCGGTTCCCATGTTGTGTTTTGACATATTGTCCATCCGTTCTCGGCAAGCAGCTCTTTCAAGTAAGGACCTTGGCAAGACCGAGCCCACCCTGGATCTGGGAATCGGAGTTTGCGTGTTTTCCCCTTCATCTGCACAGGGTCTCCTGTTCTCGCCCACTGGAGTGTTGTCAGTCCTGTTGTCCGGGTTTTTGACACACCAAGGTGGGGGTGAGCGAATGCATATCTATGTGTGTCCCACGGTAGACTGGTGCTCTGTCCAGGGTGAGGCCTTGTGAGCCTGGCTAGGCTCCAGCTCACCCAGTCCTCTAAGCTCTAGCACAGCTGAAAGTGGCTGGATGTCCCTGGGGGATTTATTCTGGTACTTGGACAACTTCATGCAAATCGTCTATTGTAACTCACCTGGACAAGGGTGTCGCCTCTTGTGGCACAGCACGTTTAAGAGCCTGGTGGGTTTTGCGAGTTGGGGTTCTGTCCTGTTCCCCTCTAGCAACGGCAGTGCCGACATGGCAGCGGTGTACTATGAGAAGATCGACGTGGTGGGCCACCACAATGGACCCCTGTCCCCAGAGCGGGAGGACGCCACCAAAAAGCTGGATGACATCTTTAAAGCGATGAACCGCAAGATCAAGGTCGGTGATTTGTTCCATATTCCATGAGTCCTAATGGATGAATAAATTCATCAGTCGGGCTCTGGCCGGCTGCGACGGATGATTTGGTTTGTGGGCAGGAGAAGATTGACCGTCGCTCAAGAGTTCCCGCCTTTTGGCGTAAAAGAAAAAGAGCCGCTACAAAGCACGTGCCAGTGCAGATTATCGGTGGTTTTGTAAGCCCTCTGTCGTTGTGCAGGTCTGCGAGGTGCACCTTGATTCATATGCCAGAGTTAAAGGAGTCAATTGCAGATGAAGGCCAAAGTCCGATGCTTCAGTGACAACTCCTGTTTAAATCAGCACTCAGCTGTGGCCTCTGATACACTGACATTTATTGTTGCAGCTCAGTGAAAAGGCCTGTGCATGCCCTCCATTATCTGAGTACTGTCGGCATGCGTGAAACACTTGTTTCTCCCCAGCGTGTGATAAACTATTACTATAGTAAAAAGTCAGAAGCTGTCTGCTCCAGCCATCCATCCCCTACAGATTTTCTGTAACAACAAAGTAGCTTCTTTTCTGTTTTTATTATGAAGATCTGTGCCTAGAAGTCATCAGTGTGGGAGTTTAACTTTGGATTTATGTTCTGTGAGGTTTTCATTCACATATTCAGGTATTTCTTGTGGGCACGTTTACCTCATCGGGAGTAATTTTCCTTTTTCAAAACATTGTATTTTTTAAAGTATAAGCCCACATCCCTGAATTGGAAGAAGCAGTTAGAAAATGGATGGATAGGATAGTATAAAGTATGTTTCACACTTTCTTCTAATATTATTAGTCAGATGGTGAATTTGAATGTCAATTTTCATTTCCCATGGCTAAATATCCCCCAAGCCAGCAAGGCGTTTGTTAAGGTAAGGCTTTTCTTTACTTTAACTGGTTCCTTTCAGGAAAGCAGCCTGCACAACGAGCTCAATGTCATTATGTTCTCGGATCACGGCATGACCGACATTGAATGGATGGAGAAAGTCATCGAACTTACCAGATATATAAACATGTCGGATGTCATGAAGATGATGGACAGGGGCCCTGTTGTGAGCCTGTGGCCAAAGGAGGAAAAGATTGACGAGGTGAGCAGTCTGCTTTGCTGCAGCTGGGACTGACATTGAGTTAAGAAACCCCCATTTTCTTTTATGCCTCCTGGCATTTAGGTTTGCTTTCCACTGTTCCATACCTTTCTTTTTTATTCCTTGACTACGGGGGGAACAGCTGTTTTATATGTGTGTTTAAAATATCCACAGACTTGTCTGCCAATTCTTCGTGACCTGATCACAGGAGTTAAATAATTAGGCCAGCCCAGCCCAGCTCAGCTCATTCCCTGAACTGAACTGCAGGAGCCTAGGCACCTGCCTGCTAGTATACCAATCAAATCAGTTCTTCCTCCTCCAGTGGCATTGCAGTCACACAGGATACTAATTAGGCAATTATGCCTGGTGGGACAGAAGTGCCTCCTGTCCTGATCGGAGGATCTTATCCAGTCATTTCATGGAAAAAGAAAAGGTATCGAACGGCTAAGCTAAGTTAACTCTAGTTTAGCGGCAAGTGTCGAAGAGGCTTAATTGAATGAAGTGGCCCTTCAGTGGGCAGTACTGTACGTTCAGATCCCACACTGTGTCAGATAAACCCTCATGCAGCGAGATAGTGCTGGGCAAACAAAGGCGCATTGTAGAGCATCGACATCCAGCAAACACTGAAAGTTACATCCTGGTTTTACGGAAAAGGGGCCTGGGAAAAAATGAAATATTCTCAATTTATATATTTGGCTGTTGAATGACATTTCGTCGTAGCAGCATTGGGGTACAAAATCGCACTTCTCTGACTTCTGAAAACCAGGAGGGTGGTGAGCTGCAACTGTATGTCAAATCCAGCAGAAACTGGATTGTGTCGATCCTGGATGTCTCCTTCGACTGCCAGTGTCTTCAGAAACGGACCTGATTGTGTGCATTCCTGTACCCTGCAGGTTTACAACAAACTGAAAGTGGTGAAAAATATGAAGGTGTTTAAAAAAGAGGAGATCCCAGATCGGTTTTACTACAAGCGTGGGAAGTTCGTGTCCTCATTAACACTGGTAGCTGAGCCAGGCTGGTTCATTACTGAGGTAAGCCACACAGCTGTTCCTGTTTTTTATTTGACTTAATGTATATTCATACCCCGTTTTACCCTGATGACTAGGGCCCAGCTCCCCTAGGCAATGACTGACCGCGAAGGCCTGTACCATTCTCGCGGCCCGTTTAAACTGGGGAAGGTCTAAGGAGGTAGTCTGACAGAGCCAGAGGAACTCTCACAAGGGCCCAGAACGCAAACGCGGGAGAGCCAGGACGGGCCGCAGC